GGGAGGGTTACGTACAAATATACTACCTAAGACTGAAGAGATTGGGTCCGATATCGCAGCCTAGCTGTAAACCTCCAAATCAAACAGAAAGAAGACGCAGATATCGCAGCCTAGCTGTAAACCACAACAAAACGTGCCAGGCGCTTAGTTAAAGGCAAAAAAATTCTTTATCACCTAGTGGAGCAATGATCGCCAGTCACCCACGTAACATGCAAAATAGACAACTACGTTCCCAAGGACTCAAGCATCTGCCCAATTATATCTCCCTCTCCAAATAATTGAAACAATATTATGTGGCAACATTGTTGAAATAGAAATAGTTAAGAAATGAGAAATGTAAAAAAGTGTTTTAAGCTCCCTCAGTTAACAGTGTCTGGCAACACCCCCCCCCCCCCCCCCAATCATGTCATCCTCTACGAAGTATGGGGAAGTCATCGCCTGACGAAATATTGTTAAATTGAGCTTGGCATCCGTGCCCACCCAGACAAAAATGGGTAGCATTAATCTGTACTGAGAAGTAAATGTGGCCAGTGTAACAGCTACCACATAACCCATCAAGTACCAGTACTACTGCTACCACTACCATCACAAAACGATAACTACTGTCTGTACAGGTCGTTGTAGCCAGAAGGGTTGGCGCCGCATGCTGTCCTAGCGGACTGTTTAGTTTGTGTCCCCGACATAAAACTCCCATCACCTAACCAGTGATGGAACCCACAGTAAAATTCCGTGATATAAAAAAAATGTACACTATACCGCACAAATGGCGGAAATAAAAAACTGCACTCATCATGTCTCCCTGTCCGAAGTGACGATGTTTAATTAACCTTGGCATCCGTGTCGACCCAAACCAAGCGTAAGCCTTCTTAGTTAACAGTGTCTAGCTGTAAACCCTAAAATCTAACGGAACAAAAAGCGTAGATACTGCAGCCTAGCTATAAACCACTACAAAACGGGACAGCCACCCAGTTAGGTGCACACACAAAAAATTATATCACCCAGCGGGGAATCGAACTCCTATCACCCAAGTAACAAAGCAAAATGCTTACAACTAACTACGCTACTGAATACCCAAGCACTTCAGTAGAAATAAAAGTATATAATAATGTGACGGTCGGTGTTGCACAGCCAAAGGTGGCCAATTCTTCAAAAATAAATCCGGGTGGGCAACGAAACAAATAATGATTTGACTGTCCCCCGTGTGGGTTTCGGGGCCCCATTGTAGGGGAAAACAAGAATAGACCCACTGCCTCCCCAAAAGCATGTCGTAAGAGTCGACTAATTGGGGAGCTTCCTTTGAAGTCGGAGTGCATCTGCCGGAGAGGCAAGGAACCAACAGTCTGTATTTGAGAGAATGAGATCTGTAAAACTGATGCACACGCAACACTCAGGTTCTGGAGCAGGACTGCAGTTCAGTAGTGGACGAACAACCAGAACTTTCTGCCAGAGTGTACAGCTGGTGAACGTGAAGAAGAAGAAGATTTGACTGTTGCTGGAGCTACGTCGTTCGTGGTTTGTGTGATTTTATGACAAAAAATAAAGCTCTGAGTCAGAGGCAACGTTGTGTGAAAATTTGAAAGCAATCCCGAGTTTAGAGCTAATGACACAAGAAAATTAAGGTTTTTATTAATATAGATGAGTTGTGGACTATCTCACGGGAAGAATATACAGACATGAGTGGTGGACTATCTCACGGGAAGAATATACAGACATGAGTGGTGGACTATCTCACGGGAAGAAAATACAGACATGAGTGGTGGACTATCTCACGGGAAGAATATACAGACATGAGTGGTGGGACTATCTCACGGGAAGAATATACAGACATGAGTGGTGGGACTATCTCACGGGAAGAATATACAGACATGAGTGGTGGACTATCTCACAGGAAGAAAATACAGACATGAGTGGTGGACTATCTCACTGGAAGAATATACAGACAAGAGTGGTGGACTATCTCACGGGAAGAATATACAGACAAGAGTGGTGGACTATCTCACGGGAAGAATATACAGACATGAGTGGTGGACTATCTCACGGGAAGAATATACAGACATGAGTGGTGGACTATCTCACTGGAAGAATATACAGACATGAGTGGTGGACTATCTCACAGAAAGAATATACAGACATGAGTGGTGGATTTTCTCACGGAAAGAATATACAGACATGAGTGGTGGACTATCTCATGGAAAGAATATACAGACATGAGTGGTGGACTATCTCATGGAAAGAATATACAGACATGAGTGGTGGACTATCTCACGGAAAGAATATACAGACATGAGTGGTGGACTATCTCACAGAAAGAATATACAGACATGAGTGGTGGACTATCTCATAGAAAGAATATACAAACAGTGATGGACTATCTCACTGGAAGAATTTACAGACATGAGTGGTGGACTATCTCACTGGAAGAATTTACAGACATGAGTGGTGGACTATCTCACAGGAAGAAAATACAGACATGAGTGGTGGACTATCTCACGGGAAGAAAATACAGACATGAGTGGTGGACTATCTCACAGGAAGAAAATACAGACATGAGTGGTGGACTATCTCACTGGAAGAATATACAGACATGAGTGGTGGACTATCTCACGGGAAGTATATACAGACATGAGTGGTGGACTTCCTCACGGGAAGAATATACAGACATGAGTGGTGGACTATCTCACAGAAAGAAAATACAGATATGAGTGGTGGACTATCTCACAGAAAGAATATACAGACATGAGTGGTGGGCTATCTCATGGAAAGAATATACAGTCATGAGTGGTGGACTATCCAACATATCTAGGATGGGCCCTCAGTGTCTTGAAGTACAATTCCAAAAATACACTATTACATGGTCGAAACCTAAACCTCCTGCTCTTCTATTTCTCTGCATGCTCAAGATGACGTGATGCACAGAGCACAAGCTCCAGCAACATTTCATATAAAATAAAAATCCAAATGATAAAGTTGTTATGTAGCTGGTCACCCTCATAGAGCCTGGCTGCTCCAGAAGAGGCAATGGATGTGCCTACAGAGTCCATACGTCTCCCTATTCCCCAGCCATTGACCATGTAATTCCACTTTAGGCAGGGCGTTTTTATGTAGGTTGTCTCCTCTAGATCTGTTGTTTTGTCCCAGGACCACAAGGTCACCCTATGAAGGATGTGCCTTTTTAGCCACGCACAACCGTCTTGCCTGCAGACAGTTTTACTAGCCCAGTGCGCCACTGCCCAAGTCTTAGACGCTATATTCATACCATATATGTAATATTCTCACTTAGACAATTAGTGGAAAGGCTGGTAAAATCTGATGAATTACATGTCACTGCATTTGTAGACCAAGAGAAAGCTTTCGATCGAGTCAAGATGAATAAGTTATGTGAGGTACTGCAGGATTACGTAGTAAACAAACATTTTTCTTTGAATTGTGAAGAGTTTATATTTGTAGCTAATGTGCAGTTAGAACAAATACATGCACGTCAGAAAAGCTCCACATTTCTCACATACCAGTGATGAAGTGGTATGCCTTTATGGCACATGTACGTTGTTTTTTCACCATCGCACACACTAGTGATGAAGTGGTATGTCATAATGGCACATGTATGTTGTTTTTTCACCATCTCACATACCAGTGATGAAGTGGTATGCCCTAATGGCACATGTACGTTGTTTTTTTAACCATCTCACATACTAGTGATGAAGTGGTATGCCCTTATGGCACAAGTACGTTGTTTTTTCAACATCGCACATACCAGCGATGAAGTGGTATGCCCTTATGGCACGTGTAAATTGTTGTTTCACCATCTCACATACCAGCAATGAAGTGGTATGCCCTTATGGCACGTGTAGTTTTTTCACCATCTCACATACCAGCAATGAAGTGGTATGCCCTTATGGCACATGTAAATTGTTGTTTCACCATCTCACATACCAGTAGAGAGAAGTGACTTTCTTCTTCAGTAGGTTACCCTGCGGCAGGTGTGACATGAAATTCCTTTACATTAAAATGTCCAGTAAAATGTACCAACAGCCTGAATCGGGGAAATGAATATGAGGCCACCATTTACAATGTATGAGGTCACTATTTACAATGTTCAAATGACTGAAAGTACATACAAGGTTCTCTTCAGTCAAATGGCAAAAGTATTCAAACAGATACATGAAAAAACAGGCATTCTTAACAGTTGTGAATGGCATGCAACAGTATAGTACATAACACCTACAACAATTAAAAGTCACACTTGAGGGTGTAGTTAAGTTTATTAAAATTCCCCAGAACATGTACATCAATCAATCTCACTGGCATACCCATTTTGCGGCCAGCTCAGGATTACCTGCAAGTGTGCTACAGATATGACCACTAATCATAGAAAAGAATAGCCACTTGTTCTATTACAGGGTGACTAAATATTGACTCAAAAAGTTATCTCCACAACTGCTGCCACCATGTCAACTAGCCAATATCTCCACCAATAGTGCCAGGCTCCCTGGATATCAAACCACTGTGTAACAGACTAATCCAACACATGAAGTCATGGCAGACATCACAAGCACGACGCAAGGATACCTGAGGTCCCCAAGACAACAGCAGACAGTCATGAGGCTCAACAACTGACAAGTCCTATCGTAGACATTGAATTAACACAAGGGTTGATATTTGCCAGAAAATGAGGATAAAACAGAGATACAAACAAATGTGACAGACAGCTGACACTTGGCAACAAAATAAGTGAGACTCAGCACATAAGCAGCTTGTCAGGAGCTTTAAGACTGCACAAGAATGAATTATACCAGACTCTTCAATGTCTCCCGCATGCTACCTGTACGCTATATGTGACTGAATCATGCCAATAAAAACATGACGCCAATACAAATATGGCCTCATACTTTGCAGATTTGCCAACTGCTGAAAGCACATTTGACCACACCAGAATTGATGCTGAATAAAATAAATGATTGTGAAGTGGACACAGGTCAGACACAGGATCTCACTGTTGATGATTAGAAGCCGTGTACCTGCAAACAAACAAATATACAACAGTGTCAGAAATAGATGATGGCTTAAATGACGAGATAGTCGATGAATACAAAATACAACCAATACTTTACAGGAAGCTAATCATTTTCTGGCAAAAGACATTTAGCATGGGTTAGACAAGGGCATCCATGGTAGACCTGACCATCTTTTAGGTGGAAGCAAGGAGACGGCTGTCAACCTGTCATGTGTGTAAAGACTAGTGTCAACCATCAGAGAGCTGTCAACCTGTCATGTTAAAGACATGTCAACCATCAGAGAGCTGCCAACCTGTCATGTGTGTAAAGTCTAGTAAAAACCATCTGAGAGCTGCCAACCTGTCATGTGTGTAAAGACTAGTGAAAACCATCAGAGAGCTGCCAACCTGTCGTGTTAAAGACTACAATGTCAACAATCAGAGAGCTGTCAACCTGTCATGTGTGTAAAGACTAGTGTCAACCATCAGAGAGCTGTCAACCTGTCATGTGTGTGAAGACTAGTGTCAACCATCAGAGAGCTGTCAACCTGTCATGTGTGTAAAGACTAGTGTCAACCATCAGAGAGCTGCCAACCTGTCATGTTAAAGACTACAATGTCAACCATCAGAGAGCTGTGAACCTGTTATGTGTTAAAGACTACAATGTCAATCTGTCATGGGTTAAAGACTACAATGTCAACCATCAGAAAGCTGTCAACATGTCATGTGTGTAAAGAATACAGTGTCATTTATTAAAGAGCTGCCATCCTATCATGTGTGAATAGACTACAGTGTCAACCTGTCATGTGTGTAAAGATTAGTGTCAACTAGACAGCTACCAACCTGCTTTGCCTGTGTATATAGACTAGTGTTAACTAGACAGCTACCAACCAGCTTTGCCTGTGTATATAGAATAGTGTCAACTAGACAGCTACCAACCTGCTTTGTCTGTGTATATAGACTAGTGTCAACTAGACAGCTACCAACCTGCTTTGTCTGTGTATACAGACTAGTGTCAACTAGACAGCTACCAACCTGCTTTGTCTGTGTATATAGACTAATGTCAACTAGACAGCTTTGTCTGTGTATATAGACTAGTGTCAGCTAGACAGCTTTGTCTGTGTATATAGACTAGTGTCAACTAGACAGCTTTGTCTGTGTATATAGACTAGTGTCAACTAGACAGCTTTGTCTGTGTATATAGACACAGCTTTGCCTGTGTATATAGACTAGTGTCAACTAGACAGCTACCAACCTGCTTTGCTTGTGTATACAGACTAGTGTCAACTAGACAGCTTTGCCTGTGTATAAACTACTGTGTTAAACATCAAAGAGCTGCCAGTCTGTCATAAATGTGTGTACAGACTACAGTGCCAACAGTGAGAGAGCTGCCAACTCACTGTGTGTGTATACACTATAGCATCAGCCACCAGGGAGCTATCAACTTATCATGTGCAACGCTGGCTTTGCTTGTATTCAGGTTAAAGAAACCTGACATGTATGCATTGACTTCACACACACACAAAACGGTCTTTTAAAAAAAAATTAGATACTAGCCTTGAAAAATGACTCAGCAACTAACATAGGAGCCTTCAAGCTATGTTCATGCTGTGATATGTGTGTGTAGTGTGTTTGCATTAAATGATCCGTAGTATGAACTGTCATGCTGTATACTTTGTGCAGACATATCTTTCCCTAAGTAAACTTTTGTAATTTATCGACATCCACCTGGGTGGTTAGTTTTAACACCAATCCTTTTCAGAGCACCCTTTAAGCACTGGATGTGTGACAATAAAAAATAAAAAAAAAACTTCTTAAGGGATATAATAAAACCTTTGGATCAATCCTGGACAAATATTCTCCTTTCTAGTGGGGTAAAACAGACTGACATAACTCCTCCTTTTCCGATACCATCACAGCTTACCGTAATCACTGTGCCAACTATTCCAGGAGTAAGCACAACTGTCATTTAACCATTATCTTACTGTTTTGCATATATGACCCTACCTTTATCTGTTCATTTGTAGCGATGCCGACTTTAATGAGCAAAGTACGGATGTGTTCACGCTGGTCTCCTTGTAGCTGGATTACCTCCCCATACTCGGGATGCTCTACTACTGTGCCATTACATGCAAACTCCTAGAAATGTACCAATACAGAACAGACAGTGAGTAAATAGTTAGGTCTAACCAGTCAATGTATCATACAGGCTATATTAAATTAAACTGTAGAATAACTGGTCAGCAAAATCTATCACCAAAAGGACCATCTGCATATTCAAGTTCTGTCCCTGTTCACTCTTTCCTGACCAGCAACCCAGGGCAATCCCATTTCCTGACCAGCAACCCAGGGCAATCCCATTTCCTGACCAGCCACCCAGGGCAATCCCATTTCCTGACCAGCCACCCAGGGCAATCCAATTTCCTAACCAGCAACCCAGGGCAATCCCATTTCCAAGGGTGTCTGGAGAGATTTGTTTATCAAAATGACTGCTTTCCTAAACAAAAATTACACAATTTAAAAACCAAAACAAAACCACGTAGGGTTTGGATACCTTCATAGCATCATTAAGAATGGTTGCTACACATGAAAAAAAAAACATTATGCGAATGATCATGGTGACCATCTTGAATTTGGCTTATTTTAGAAATTTCAGGAGATGTTTCAAAACAATCACCTTTCTAGTTTTGTTGTGTTTTTTTTAGCAAATTTGTTCAATGTCAATGAAAAAAAAAAGGGGGGGGGGGGGGGGGGGTTGGTGATGAATGAAATAAGCCAAATATGAGTAATAATTTAACAATTGACCAAATATTTCAATATTAAAAGAACAAATGTGAATAAAGTGGAAACTGTTTTTTCATTATTGAATTGATTTGTCATGTTGCAATGAGGATCTGTGAATGCTTGATCACAAAAGCGCCTCTACATGAAGACTGAACTATTTATTTCATTAACTGGAGTTGAAGTTGTAGTCCTCTGCAAGAGTCTACAAGGTGTCGAACGTAGAGCTGTACATGCAAGTCTTCTTCTTTTACCTGCAGCCTTGCACATCTTACAGTCTGGTCTGTACCTTGGCTTGTCATATTTTTCAAACAGATGGTGCTCAGTAAGTCGTGATGTGACCTGTGCTCTTGAAGATGTTACACTGTGTCGAAGAACAGCAGATCCATTAAGAGCAAGACTGACATCCTGCCTGAACCTCTTTGCTGTGATCTTACTCACAGAGTTGACAGTGCTGTATCTTATAGACTCATTGATCAGAGCAGTTTCAACTAAATATTTATTTATATATATATATATATATATATATATATATATATATATATATATATATATATATATATATATATATATATATATATATATATATATACATACATACAATGGCAGGTACCATTTACAGGATCTATGTATGTAGGAGTAGTTTGTACCCAGCTGACCAAACTGATCAACCCTTCCTCACCCCCCACCCCATGCTGTTATATTTTTCTGCAAAAACTGGCTAGTTTATTATTCTGCCCTCGGCAACTCCACTTTTCCTAAATGCCTTGTCTATAAAATCATTGGAGTAAGTTAGTAGACATCAGGTTACCTCTCATGCCAGGTAATGGCCAACATGCCTATATCTTTTGTCACATAAAACAGGCTCCATGCGTGGAAGTGAACAATTTTTAGGCTCCATGCATGGAAGTGAACAATTTTTAGGCTCCATGCATGGAAGAGAACAATTTTTAGGCTCCATGCATGGAAGAGAACAATTGTTAGGCTCCATGCATGGAAGAGAACAATTTTTAGGCTCCATGCATGGAAGAGAACAATTGTTAGGCTCCATGCATGGAAGAGAACAATTTTTAGGCTCCATGCATGGAAGAGAACAATTTTTAGGCTCCATGCATGGAAGAGAACAATTGTTAGGCTCCATGCATGGAAGAGAACAATTTTTAGGCTCCATGCATGGAAGAGAACAATCTTTAGGCTCCAGGCACAGACACGAATAATCAACATCTTTTTAAACAATACAAGTAATTTTAAATTGTTATTGGGATGTGTCTTCAGTGAAGAAGACCAGGCATGAAGATCGACAAAAGAGCTGAATGGTTTCCCAGCAAAGTCTGAAGTAGCTTAATACTCACAGAAACTGCAGCAAGACCCATCGCTATGCACATTACATACACCATTATTAGAAAAAGTAAAAAGAAGAGAGAAGAAAACACACCAATGAAAAATTATTTCAGTTCTTTCAGATAACAAGTCAAATTGTTGCTATGCTAAATGGTTGCATTTTAAATCTGGCAACCGATTTTATGAGTGGGACAAAAACAATTTTACAAGTCAAGAAAATCACACAATGGCCACACACAAAAAAACAGGTTCATTCGCCATGTTCTAAAAAAAAAAACCACACAAATCGTTAAATTCTCTCTTGTTCTAACACATAAACCTAGCGCTGTTCCGTTCCTTAAAAAAATAAATATTACAAACAACTGGACTTTTGGTGGTTTTCTCAACAACTGCTTGGATCAGAGCAGTAAAGTTATTTTTAAATACCTTCTTGGCCGCCTTTACAATTTTCTTGAAATCGTATTTAGGATCCACTCCCTGCACTGTGGTCAGTGTCTTGCGTCCATTTCTCTGCTGAATTCTAATGTGGATTAGAGAGCCCTGCATGCCAGGAGTACCACCAACTCCCTCCCCGGTGTCGGCAAAAGGATCTGCAGGAGACAAGTAAACAAGTTTTGTCAGTAAAAGGATCTGCAAGAGACAAGTAAACAAGTTTTGTCAGCAAAAGGATCTGCAAGAGACAAGTAAGCAAGTTTTGTCAGCTAAAGGATCTGCAAGTAAACAAGTTTTCTCAGCAAAAGGATCTGCAAGGGACAAGTAAATACGTTTTCTCAGCAAGATCTTTTGATTGAATGTAATGTACACCAGAAATCCTATTTTCTCACTAAGGACCTCATCTTGCTGACTGACATGTGTCTTCAAAATAAAACACTGCCAACATTATCCTCTAGCTCTTCTTTAAATCTTTCCACCTGTTCTATTTTTTTTACTTCTGATAATATAGGCAATGTCATCTATATCAAGTGATCTCCATGTCTCCGTAATTATTCATTTTGGCCATCCAGACATAAGTTTATGTGAAACCATATCTTTGATACCCCACAATTGTTTCCCCTTGTTTACTCACTGTCCAAAAGCGACAACCGCAAGTTAAACATTTTTTTGTCTAACCTGCAAAAGCATGGATAGCTTGCTGAAGAGGTTTTATTTAATGTATGCATGTTCGGTTCTTAACACCCCTATGTCACAACCCACACATGATGTTATGCTCTTGCATTTGCCCCAAATCAATTCCATGAACCTGAATTAGTATATGTAGACATTATCTGTTTTTATGTTACTGCTATTAGTTGTATTTTCCTGCCAGTCAAAAGTCCTACAGTCTGACAGAAAGGTTCAAATGTCTGACCAAAAGTCCTACAGTCTGACAGAAAGGTTCAATAAAATGTCCATTACTAAGGGCTCCACTTGCCAGAGTGATGGGACCAAGCCAGGTGCATGACTGTTCCATACTGACCTGCCAAGGGACATAGCATGCTAAGGAACAATGTACCTATTCATGTGGTCATCCAAGTCTGGAGGGCGTAGCCCGTGACAAGTTAGATGATCAACATACAAATGTCAAGTTAAGCAATCATGTACAGAACATGACAATTCCTTGGGTGAGCCCAGGACTAGAGCATCAGCGTTACATGTTGGCTCTGTATTTATGGTAGCCTTCCTGGATAGTGGGGGAACGTTCAGGATATATTTATAGGATATGCCCCTGCCTTTCCTTGAGGACCAACCAGTCTACATGGGTTGCCTTGTAGATGAGGGAACGAAGAGAACATCACACAAATAAGGGTTCTCCTTGCAATAACGGTCGCTACTTGGATGGCGACGGCCGCTTAGTCTGAGTTCAGTCCCCTGGCTGCAGTGCAATTACAGAGTGGACGAGGCACCAATCACAAAACAAAGTGAGTTCAACATGGCATCAAGACCACGCGCTGCGACTCACATTAGCAACTGCCGTAACTGCGTACATGTGTTACCCTAACCCAAACCCTAGCCCTAACTATGTCATTTGTTTCGTTCCCTCTTGTCAACTCCGTAATTGCACTGCAGCCAGGGGACTGAACTCCAACAAAGCAGCCGTCGCCGCCGTCCAACTTGCGACGGAGCGACCGTTATTGCAAGGACAGCCCAAATAAAAAGGCAACACCATGTCCCATAAAACAGCCAGCAAAGTTAGCTCGGTCAACAAATAATGAAGTCAGATGTGACCACCAAAGGTGCAAATATAACAGCTTTGCTGTAAACAGACTGAAAGCACTTAGTAAGGCGAACAAAAAGATAAAAGATCTGTAAATGATCACAAGTAGCTGAACTACACATTTTTTTTTAATGACAATAAAAAATGATTAAATGAGGCATTGCATATGTTTATCCTCTTAAAGTAAAATCATGAAATATATTAATTTGGCCATTTCTCTTAACAGGTAATTACAAATGCAGCAATTATTGCAAATGTAATTCTATACCGTGATGCCATTAAACAGCTCTCTTGGTTCCCCCCCCCCCCACAAAATGTCCTGTTGCCTTTATATATACGTTTGTCCTGTCCTTGTGACATGCTCACACAAAGTACACGGTGCCTTTCAGCGTTGAAAATGTGGACAGTTCTAATGACAACTGAAGTGACAATGCTAATCAATATTAAATGTTTATAAATTGATATTGTTAGCTCATTGAATTTCTTGTATATGTTAATTACACGCTTTTATTTTAGAATTTTTGTGTCGTCATATTTAGCTCTGATCTGAAACTCAAAAAAAGCTCGGTCACCAGAGTTTTAAGTTTAAGTTAAATTAAATGCGCACAAAAAAATTTTCAAATTGTGCATTAAATGGCAACATGTAGATCATATTTTCTTGATTAAAAAAACTGCAAGTCCTACAACCTGATAAATATGTTTACATGTGAATAAAACAGCCACAAAAGAGAAAACAAAAACAGAGACACGGAACACATTTTAGTTACTTTTTAAAACGTTTATAAGTAACTTTACGATTATCGGTATTAGGGAAATCACCTTTCTATTCATTTTTAAAACATGAAATGCTGTCTTACAAAAATTAAAAATATTACCATATCCCTTGAAGTTAATCTCAGCCGTCATGCAAGCGAATTAGTGGAACCACAAGAAAGAAAATATCCAAAGATTAATGTTGATTTTAAAAGAACCTCCCAAAATGCCTTCTTTCACTTCGTCGGCTAACCAAAATACGGAAATGACGTTTGATAAGATTCGACTTCTGCGCAGGTCAGTGTTGCCAAGAAAACTTGTCCATCAGCATTCACAATTTCAGTCATTTATTTTCATCCTGTTTTTCATAACTACAAATTTTCTGTGCTACTTATTTAAAAAAAAAATGAAATAAAACATTCTGACAGCATCAAACCAGTAAAACAGGCTCACAGCTATGCCTTAAAGATAAATGATCAGCACTTTAATTTAAATTACTTAAAAAAAAATTATTTGAGTGTAAATAGCCTGTTTAGAGAATTGCGTGTAAACTGTACTGTGCGTGTTATATCTACAGGCGTCAACTATGTCCGTGTGTGTAATTACCTAGTCATCCCCTTGTGGGATGAAATTTCTTGTTATTTTGAAGTCGAAATTAATGTTTTAATGGCTGAACGCAGTTTCCATGACCTCGCCACTGGTGATCCTCATCCACATGGTGTCACTTTGTATCATCGGGTGTTTATCGCTTGTGTGATGTCCTGGTAGGGTGAAAGTTACTTATTATGTCCGTGTATTTGTGCAGTATATATACATGTCGTTGCTTTCTGTTAGTTTTCATATTGTATGTGTGTGCGTGACTGTCAACATATAAACAATAAAAGGAAACAAAAACATAAGAGACGGACGAGTGGCGGGGGGGGGGGGGGGGAGAAGCAGCAGGAACGTCAGGGCCATAATTATATTTACATCTGAGAAAAAGCTACATTTTTTTTTCCCTTGAGAATAGTAACACTTTAATGTATTATTTATTTCTTGGGTTCTTCAATGTTTTTTTAACAACTCTTCTCTTTTCTGTGCAATAAGCTCTTCACGTCTGCGACGAGCCTCTTGAACTTTCTGTCTACGAAGTCTGGTAGTCTGGTAATCTTAGTTTCAGCTTCATAGCAAACGGGTCGCCCCATCTTTGCTCCGCTCCTGTGCCAACGAAAAACACTCAGAATGTTTATCACAGTCCCTTGTGGAAAGATTGACAGACTGCTGTCTCAGCATATCTAGCATACACTCGCATTAAAGCATACGGTAGCCTTCCGAAGTGCTAGCACAAACAGTCCAACATTAGAAATGCAGTTCATCATTGATGATAGCAGAACTTGTCGCCAACAGATCAGCAGTTGCCCACGCGATCAATTGTAATCACACACGGGCACCGCCAACATTGCACGACTGACATCACGCCATTTTCTGAATCTACAATTCACACCACCACGTTGGTCACAGTCGAAAATACATTACAAATGCAATCCGCAGCTCACAGGGTCACGCCATGCATTCAACCCAGAAGCTGGGCGACGAAACTATATCCAGTCTACAAATGGAGCAAAAATACTTCGGCCACCGTCCGACAGAAGCAAAAAATTTGCCTCTGCTTCGAACAGCGCCGCTGTCTAGCGTCCATTTTAACCGGATGTCTACGAGCTCCAGCCTGGTCACCAAGAAGCTTAGATCTGCACTTTTTTGCCTTTCTTTTGTGGATTAAACCAATACCTTACAGCTCCTGGTACAAATGCTTGTCACTCTTCTTAGCCTCCCTGTACTTGCTCAACAACCTGCGCAGAACTCACATGCGTCGGATCCACAGAATTATTTGCCGTGAAAGCTTCAGCTGAATTTAGCCTGCCAAACTCCCCCCTCCCCCGCCTCTTAAAAATTCCGTTCTATATTAAAAGTTTTACGGTCGAATGAATGATATATCAGGAGTATTCTTGTTGCAGTGCAGGCAGAACATAAAGTAGCAGAAGCTACATATGGACATAGAAAGGAAAACATCTCTCTCTCTCTCTCTCTCTCTCTCTCTCTCTCTCTCTCTCTCTCTCTCTCTCTGGCCCTCCTCTCTCTATTTCTTACTGCCAACCTACTTCACCAGTCACTCTCTTACCCTATTGTCTCTCTTCTGCTCTGCTCTCCCTTTCCTCTGAACTTATGAACGAAACAAAGCCTATGTGGGGGGGGGGGGGGGGGTTTGAGTCCGCATCAAACCTAGAAAGCAATCCTAGATGATTCTAGACTGCTGGTTCGTAGAAGGAAAGCCAATGACATTCAACCCTACCAGGACAGCGAACAAATAACACCCGGTGTCACAAGGTGCTGCCAGAAAAAGTAATGAGTTTAAGTGAAGCTTGACATTTTTAGGATTCAAATTACAGTTACATATTTTAAACTTGCATGATATGGTGAATAAAATATCAGTGGTATTTTTTGTACAGGACATCCATGCAGGCAAAACGTAAATTTCTCCCCGTCTTACATCTTCCTCTCCTTCCTTCCCTCTTTGAATGTAACCATTTAAATTTTCCCAAACTGAACAAAGATATTGGCCTATAATTTTTTTAAAGAGTTTTGTCTGTGCTGTCTTTTAGTATTAATGTTATATATGATTTGTTGAAGCTTTCTGGTAATTGTTTTATGTTGAAGGCGCTGTAATTGACTTTGGGAAGGAGAGGGCCTGAGATAGGAGAGAAGTGTTAGTAGAATTCTATTGTTAGACCGTTAGGTCCGGGTGTTTTATTTGTGTTCATTGTGTTGATTGTTTGTGTTATTTCTGTTAGGGTTATTTCTATGTCTAGTATTTCTCTCTGCTTCGGATAGCTTTTTTTTTTTTTTTTTACTGGAGGAAAATATATTATGTTTTGGTGTCCGTCGGTTCTTTTTTGAAAAGTTGTTCGTAATAATTGTTAAATACTTCTGTTATTTTTAATTGGGTCTGTTTGTGCGTGCCCTTTCATGTCTGCCATTTTTTTTTTTCTTTCTTTGAATATTGTTTACTATTTTTATATCTTGTATATTTGGTGTATTTTTCAATGGTAATTTAGTATTGGTATTGTTGGTGTGTTTCTAATTGGGCTTCTAAGATTTTGTTTATGTGGTGAGTCTTTACTATTTTTCTTGGTTAAAGTTATTGTTATTGTTTTTCTTGTTCCAGTCTTCTTCTGTATGTTATGTTTGCGAATCTTTGTGTCCTTTCACTTACTAAATATTTAAACTAGTCCCAACACGTTTCTGTGTTGGTTGTAGATGTGTTGTTGACATAATCAGGTATGTCTTCTGCCATATACTCTAAGTAGTTTGTATCAATGAGGAGTGTATTAAAATCCAGTGTGCTGATTTCTATTGTGCTGTTGGTGTCGTGTTCTACGTATTTATGTGAGTTAAAATACCTTTGTGATCAGTGTATCCTAGTGTTTTTTCTAGGTGGGTGGCTTCTATAATATAGTGTGTGTTTGGTATTCTATCTAGCCTAGCCTGACTCTTCCATATTGAGTGTTTGTGTGTTACACCGATAGACGACTTCGTCGCCAGTTTGCCAGTAGTTAGGCTTTCTCCTTTGATCGCATGAACACTACAGGAGTCTTTTTTGTTTCAGGGTTCTTGGTAGCGTGTAATCTCACGACACTTTATATAACACACATAACCTAGATCAGAGGTTCTCAGACTGGGTGCCGTGGCACCCTAAGGTGCCGCAAGCTTATGGCAGGGGTGCGGCGGCAGTAATCAACAAAAGTCGGCTAAACATTGTGAATTTATTATAGAAGGCATGCGGATACTTAAGAGTTAAAATTTAAGTTGCCTTTCTTCGCCACTGTCGAAAAGAGTTGATTGTTTCACACTATGACGTTTTTCGTACGGCGCGAAATGCCAATCGCAACGTGCTAAGAATTCTCCCTCTATTTATCTAAAGGTGCGACCGATCCTCTACCTGCATTTGTTAAGGTGCAGTCGACAAATAAGTTACATTGTCTCAGCAGACAGCTGCCAGGTTAAGTCATCCAAGTTGGTCTGCCCACCGCCTTATCTAGATAAATAGAGAAGGCCCTGGCCTGCCTCCGTTCGCGGAAAGACAACTCACAACCAAAAAAAAAAAAAAAAATCCGAGGAAAACCAAGAAAATATGATCCTAGCTACCTCACTTGATTTGGCTTTGTTTCGGTTGGGAACGAATAGGCCCCGGAAGGGCAATGCGTTTACTGCCATAGAAGTGTTGCGAACAGCTGCTTGGTTCCGTCCAAATTAAGGAGTCATCTGGAATGCAGTCATTCTGAATTAGTACCTACAGGAAAAGAAATCTTCAAACGCCACGCTTGATCTCTTCAGGCAGGGCCATCCATGATGAAGAGAATTTCTAAAAAAATGAAAAGAATACAATGCAAAATTCATTCAAATAGTTTCATTCATCGCATTAAAAACAACTAAACATTAAATTTAATAAATTTGTCTTCTTTTCCTAAGAATTTAACCACTTTATGTGTTGGTGTGCCGCGAAATTTTTGTAGCCTGACATGGGTGCGGCGGGCACACAAGTTTGAGAACCCTTACCTAGATGATACTCTCGATTCTTTGTGAGAACAGTGTACTAGGCCAAGATGAGACAATTACTGCAAATATTATAAGATCATGGCTCAAGAAGTCTCCCAGTACAGCTCCAGGCCCTGGCGGCATCCCATATGATGAAATGTTGACGATGTCTTATGCAGAAAGGAAAGACCTGGCAACAAAAGTCAACATCAGTATCCAGGCAAGCTTTTGGACAAAAACGTTGTCGCACAAATGTAATAGGGTGGAAGCGACGAATACCACAGTGCAGCAGATTAAAGATCTTAGATTTATTCTGGTTTTAAAATGGTTAAAAGGCCACCGGAACTAACTAATAAATTTGACCGGAAGATGGAAAAAAATCAGCCCACGGGGTATTTAAACGGCCGACTGACAGTTTCAAGCCTATCACTATATTCAGTTTCGTCCTTTTCAGGACGAAATTTTTTTGTCATTTGAAGCCCTACTCTGGCTTTTGCCAGGGGCCGCAATATAGGCAGGCCATAAATATGGCCAAATGTCTGAACGCGGTTTCTGGGACCTCTCCACGACGATCCTCATCC